GCCCAAATGGGAAAGAACAGAGCAGAAAGATTGGGAAAAGAAGAGGAGAAGAGAAACACGCAGGATAGCAGAAGCTTATGAGAACAACTGATCAAAGGTGCAGTTAGACACCATGGCAATTCACAGAAGGAGAAAAGAGAGAAAGGAACAGAGAAATATTTGAAGCAATAATGATTGAGAATTTCCCCCAAATTAATGTCAGACACCAAATCACAAATCCAGGAAGCTCAGAGAACACCAAACAAGATAAATGCAAAACCCCATCACCATGACATATCATATTTAAAATGGAAAAAAAAAATCAAAGATGAAGAAAAAAACCTGTAAGAGGCCAGAGGGGAAAAACACCTTCCCTAAAGAGGAGTAAAGGTAAGAATGACATCTGACTTCCCAGAAAGCAAGGAGAGAGAGAAAAAAAATATTCAAAGTGTTCAAAGAAAAAACTGAACAACCTAGATTTCTCTACCCTGCAAAATTATCCTTCAAGAACATAGGAGAAATAAAGATTTTCTCAGGCAAATAGTTAATGCCAAAAAAAGTAAAATATAAAAAAAAAAAAAAAGTAAAAATTACATACGGAAATGATCATTTGAAAATATTGTTAATAAATTATATTGTTAAAATTAATTTCACCAGTTTCTTTTTACTTCTTTAATGTGGCTACTAGAAATTTTAAAATTACATCTGTGATGTGCGTTTGTACCTCTGAGTGTATTCTATTGGATGGGGTGATCTGGAAGGTGATTTCCACATTATAAGCAGTCAATAAATATTGACCAGACCTTTTTTTTGGCCAACGTTTTGACAGTTAAGTCAAAATGATTTGTGTGAGTCTGGGAAATTCTGCAGTTTCCTTGTTTAAATTTTTAAGGGTGTAGACCAAAGAACAAAATACTGACAAGAATGAAGGATATTTGAAGAGTTCAATGAGTAAGTTAGGGCATAATGCCACAGCAGCATTGTAGAGGTTAGGCATCAGGAGGTTAGAGAAAGAAAAGGAAAAAAGAGAAAAGAAGACAGGAAGAGAAGGGAGGGCAGGGAAGGGGAGAGGAGAAGGGCTTCTTGAGAAATAAATAGTGTTTTGAGGCCTGAAGGTCTCACATCACTGCATCATAACCACCAGGCACTAAGATCCGAGACGATAAACAGAGCGACTCACATTCCTGGACGCTGAGCATGTGGGAGGCGAAATACTGAAAGAAACCAGAACCTCTCAGTGCCTGAGGTCAGGTGCCAGCCAGGGCGCCGACAGGTTCATCTCAAGAAATAGATCATTTTGGGCAATGGAGCCTGCCAAATCTCCTAAGGAGGACGTGTTCACATGAGGATGGGTCACCCAGAATACTGTCTATTAGAGCAATCTACAGACATCACAAACACCATGCAGCCCAGGGGAATGCCTTGCCTAGAAAAGACCCCTTTTGGCCCCAAGCCTTTCCACATGGTTCTCCCTCTGCCAAGCTGCTGCCACCATCTAATGTCCTTTATCAATGGTATTTACAGAACTGACCCAGCAGCAGCGCATTTTTCCATCCGTACTAAGATGTGTGCACTCATGTAGTCTGAGGCCGCGTGTCCCACTGAAAAGCCTGCCAGCTTCGATTAAGATCTCAATCTAAACCCTACTCTCTTCCCCAGAGTGGCCTCGTGACCTTGAGGAAACTATGGCAACTCTCTGGACCTCAGCTCTCTCATCTGTAGAAGGTGAGAGATGTTAACTCACACCTCACAGGTTTGGATGTAGGAAAAGACTTGAGTACATCACCTCATAGACAGAGTGTGTGCAGAGAAGGCTCCACGCACGAGAATTGTCAGATTACAGCTGTAGAGACGCTCAACTAACTTGGCACTCGGGGGAGAAAGCTAAGTGCACCAATGACTGGCCTCGAGTCCATCAGTGATGGACCAACCCAACCGGGTCACATCCA